TACTAAATTGTAGTTTTTGACCTTTTGATCATAGCAGATATAAAACCAAATCATGCTTAATAACAAATATCTTGGGGTGAATGTGGTAAATTTCATGGAAGCAGAAGTTGTTATAAGAAGTAACATATTTTACTTCAGAAATTAAATAAAATTATCTAGTAACCATCATAGTCTTGATTGAGGTTTCTATTGATATGGTAAAGCATCCTAACCAAAATCAATTTTAGCAGAAAAGGGTTTATTTCAGCTTACAACTCTCAGGTCACACTCCATCACTGAGTGAAGGAAGGGCAGGAACCCAGAGGCACTAACTGCAGAAGCCACTGAGAACCACTGTCTACTGACTTTTCCTCATGGCTTGCTCAGCCTGATTTCTTATGCCACGCAGGACTACCTACCCAGGGATAACACTGCCTGCAGTGAGCGAGGCCTTCCCACATGAATCATCAATCAAGAAAATGCTTCACAGACTTGCCTACAGGCCAATTAGACCAAGTGACTTTCTTAATTAAAATTGCCTCTTCCCAGATATGTCTAGGTTTGTGTCAAGTTGACAAAAGCCAGCAAGCACAATATGATTTAAGTGGTAAGAGTCAGGATTCACTTTGATGGCTTGTAAGTTATGAGCAGAGAAATTGTATTAGAAGTGTGAAGCATTACAACCCACTACAACAAAACAAAATATATAGGAATAAAAGTTTTTGAAAATACAAATAGCATTGGGAAGAGAAGCCATTGGTTAACTAATAGCTGGCATAGATTCAAAGAAAAGGTTTTTAGTATTTAGGAAAGATGTTGGGGGAGGTTTAAGAAAAGTAAAGCCAAGAAAAGCACTTACCGCAGCTATGAAAGGCAACTGGCTACCTCAAGATTGAGGCTACTCCAAGAAATGAGTAAAAAGAGAGTAATCATTGGGGGAGGGTTGATAGAAATTATATTCATTCACTATTTTCCTGGGTAACTAGAAGGTAAACAGGAACCTGAGTACATCTAGAGATTGGTGGTAATTACCCCCAGAAAGATAGAAAGAGATTATGTGAAAGCCAGACATTATTCAAACAGTCAATGAAGTATTAGGATCAGTATCAGGCTATGAAAATGAAAACTCAGTCATGTTAAAAGTAATACCATTAAAAACCTGATAATTAATGCTAAATTAGCATATAAAATATTAAGTGGGTCACTAGAAACAGAAAATGAGGGGTGATTAATAAGGATCTTTGTAGACAAATTTCTAAACAGTCTTATTAAATAAGAAACACAGAACCAAATACAGAGGTGCAAGCCATAGAGATCAGAGCAATAGCCGCCAACTAACCTTAGCATACCGCCTCAAGGTAGTTTACCAAGAGAGCCTCTTCCTGTCTAACCTGCACCTTTATTGCCTTCCTGTTCTGCCTTCTCATTGGCTCTTAGCCCAGCCACATCACTTCCTCGTCACTGCCTGTCGATACAGACCTCCAGGTCTCTATGGTTGGTACTGGGATTAAAGGCGTGTGTCACCAAGCTTGGTTGTGCCTTTGAACACACGGAGACTCTGCCTGCCATGTGATCAGATTAAGGGCGTGTGCTACCACTCGCCTGACTTCGGTTTATGGCTATGACCTCTGATCTCCAGGCAAACTTTATTTATTAACATACAAATAAAGTATCATATTTCAGCACAAATAAAACATCACCACAGATCTTAGAGGTTAAGAATGCACTGCTTAGAGTAACTTTGTAAGAGGAAAGTCGCTGGACGCATCTTTCAGGTGTATAGCAGTGGACTGTAGCTGGATTTTGTTTTGTTTGTTTAGGGTTTTTCATTTTTTACACTTTTTTGTATTTTTTTGTATTTTACTTTATTGTATGAGTGTTTTGCATGCAAGTATGCATGTGTATCAAATGTGTGTCTGATGCCTAAAGAGGGCAGAAGAAAGTATGGATCCCTTGGTTTTGAGCCACTGCGTTGGTGTCAGAATCGAACCCGGGTCCTCTGCAAGAGCAGCATTTGCTCTAGACTGCTGAGTCACTTCTACAGCTCTGACTCATAACTTTGTGTTTGTTTAATCATTTTTGTCAAAAACGTCTTTGGTATCTTACAGACAACTTTTGCTCCTCCCCCTTTTTCAGTTCTTCCAAGCTCAGGCACACATTTCCACCTAATCTTTGATATCCAGGCATCCTCTGAGGGTCACACCCATATTCTAAAATAAAGACCTCTGCCCACAAAGACTGGTAAACACCATCTATCCCCACAGAATTCTACATGGACTATTGCATGTCAGGAACTCAGGCTCTGCTTTATATTGTGTTGAGAACAGGGGTGGAGGAGTCACTAGACATCTTCATTGCATTCCATTCTGAAAGGCTTTGTAGTTAAGCTATTTATAGACCTATTCTACCTTCTACAGAGAGAAGCTTTTCAGAAGGCACCAGGCACAATGTTCAACACTGGCACTCTCAAGCTGTGCTTTCATTTCTGATGACTAAAACTTGTCCACTGCCATCTCATGCATGCCTTTTATTAGTTAATCATTCAGTAACTGCCATGAAGAACACCAAGAGATAATGAACATTTGACATTTACAGTTTTATTATTAATATATGTACTTCACTTACGTTAGTGAAATCCATGGGAGTCTGTTTAAGAGGTATCAGGGATTTATTAAGATAAGAAATGAAGAAATACATTCACAAATACAGAATATGGTAAATCTCGTTGTAGAGTCCTTGGAAAGCTGGGAAACATTCACACACTTCATGCCGCCTGACCCAGTCTTCACCACCCAAGAGAGAATGCGACCCCCCCCTTTCTCCTCCCTTTAAGAGGTCACGTAGGCAGACAAGAAACACTGCCCCTATCAGGCCAGGTATCCCAAGGTCATTGGCCGAGCAAATATCCACTACACACTTACAACAAGATATTTTATTTAAACTATCTTGATTGTAGTCCTAGCCAGCCGAAACTGGTTCTTTAAACAGCAATAACTCTACTTGGCATGTATTCCTGAAGTGAAGAGAGCTTTGTTCACTGTACCTATTTTATTCCTTTATGTTTGAATATGAAATTGCCCCCTTTGGCTCATGGGTTATGCCTTAGTCCCAGCTAGTGAAAACTTTAAGAGATGAGACTTGGCTGAAGGAAGCAGATCATTCGGGACATGTAATTGGCATGTAATTGGTGTAATTTAGGCTTTGCTCACCCTCTTCTTCTCCCCCTTTATCTATCTATCTATCTATCTATCTATCTATCTATCTATCTATCTATCTATCTATCTATCTATCTACCTATCTATCCATCCATCCATCCATTGATCTATCTATCTATCTATCTATCTATCTATCTATCTATCTATCTATCTATCTATCTATCTATCTATCTATCTATCTCTTATTCCTGTCCACTATGAAGTAAATAACTCTCCTGTACCAAATGTGCATGCTGCATACTGGTGTGCCAAAGACCATGAGACCGAACAACTATAGACGGGACCATCTGAAACCTGACCCCAAATGACCCACTCTTGATTTAACATTGTTCTTTCATTGGCTTCAGTAACACAAAAGTAAGCAATTAACCTTTCCACAGTGAAGTGACTTAGGTTGAACACCACAGAAGAGTGACAAATAACAACATACCTGTATGTGTGAGATCCTACAGCTGAATTTATCAATCCTTAACAGACTTTTCCATCCTTACATGGCTGGTGGCCACTCACAATTAAATTTGTGTTCCAGAACATACATATGTACATACATACATACATACATACATATATACATACATACATCTTTATAGAATTTGTTCTCTAGTTTTCCGGTCTTCTTGGTTTTCTTTATTGTTTAGTATCCTGGGGCCTCATGCTGCCATGTACTATCCACAGTGAATAATCATACGATATACTTGAACTTTTATAATATTTAGCTTTTTGTAACAACTTGAATAGTCACTGGCCACAAACATACAAAAATTCACCCTAAATCCACTTTGCCTTTCTGTAATAACAGGGAGTTTTAACACCAGCCCTAAGAATCTGCCATGATTATTATAAGTTCAAAAGTGATTATAGTAGTACCAACTCTCAGAAAATTTTGCAGTTCTGTACAAATTAATGGGCTTTCTATTTCTATGTGCAGCAACAGCCATTATGAATAATAAAAGCTTTTACCCTGTTTTTGCCAATAAACATTTGCTTGAACAAAATAATTTTGATGATTATGATGATAAATGCTATATTTTATAAATTATTTAATTTGGCATCCATATATTTATAAAAGTAAATTTTGAAGTTCAGAAAAAAAAATGATGAAGACATATTTAACAGATAACATGAGAGAAACATCCACTCAGACATCACAAAAATGCACCAAGAATGACAAGGATGCTCTTGCCCAGAGTGCATTTGCTTCAAGCACAGCAACTGTATATCCCATTTAGATTTTACATGGTTCCTCTGGTATCAGTAGTTCAAACAAAAATTCAAAAGTGGAACAACAGAGTAAAATTTCACCTACCAAGATATAGGAATGGGTCAATATCCATTTTGTAGTCAAATATTCCTTTTCCTTTCTATTAGTAATAGACTCTTTCATGAAGATGTTTGAGTGCTTAGATGACTCTGTCCTAAGCACAGGTCTAGATATAAGCTCAATCCAACCAAACAGAAGTTTACTCAGTGTTTTCTGTCAGTCATTGGAGCCATCAGAACTTTTAACACCTCTGCATTTTCGGAATGTTTACTATGTATCCTGAAGCCAGGAAGGTTTCCTTTGCCACTTTGATTAGAGCCAACCTGAGAATGACCTTCACACAGGTGAAACAAAGACAAAAGATGGTAGAAGGTAGACTGTATGATATTTGTTGAATTTAGCTTTGCCTAAATTATTACATTCCTTCAACTTTTCACTAACATGGAAGTGGGTATTTTTTCCTTTGTTTCAGTTAAAGAAAATTGGGTTATTTACAAACGCAATCCAAATTGTAACTATGAATCTTCTATTATTTTCTCCTTCAAGAATGTTCGAGTACAGAAGAATCTCAAATAGCCAAAAGATAATTAAGGAGTTGTTCAGCATCCTCAGTCATCAGGTAAATGCAAATAAAAATGACTCTGATATACCATCTTACAACTGTCAAAATGGCTAAGATTAAAAACACTGATGACAGCTTATATTGGAGAGGGTGTGGAGTAAGAGGAACACTCCTCCACTGCTGGTGGGAGTGCAAACTTGTAGAGCCACTTTGGAAATCAGTATGGCAGTTTCTCAGAAAATTGGGAATCAATCTACCTCAAGACCCAATGATACTACTCTTAGGCATATACCCAAGGAATGCTCAATCAACCACAAGGACACTTGCTCAGTTATGTTCATAGCAGCATTATTCGTAATAGCCAGAACCTGGAAACAACCTAAATGCCCCTCAACCAAAGAATGGATAAAGAAATGTGATACATTTACACCATGGAGTATTACTCAGGTGTAAAAAACGATGATATTACGAAATTTGCAGGCAAATGGATGGAACTAGAAAATATCATCCTGAGTGAGGTAACCCAGACTCAGAAAGACAAACACAATATGTACTCATTCAGAAGTGGATAGCAGATGTAAAGCAAAGGAAAACCAGACTACAACCCACAGCTCCAGAGAAGCTAGACAACAAGGAGGACCCTAAGAGGGATGCATGGATCACCTTGGAAAGGGGAAATAGATGAGCTCTCCTGAGTAAACTGGGGCCAGGGGAGTGGGGAGGGTGGTAGAGGGAATGTGATGGAGAATGAGAACATGAGGGAACAGATGGTCTAGCTAGGGGAGGGACAGAGTGGGAAATCAATGAAAGAGATACCATGATAGAGGGAGACATTATGGTGTTAGGGAGATACCTGGTACTAAGGAAATTCCCAGGAATCCACAAGGATAATCCCAGCTTAGACTACAAGCAATAGTGGAGAGGGTGTCTAAACAGGCCTACCCCTGTAATCAGATTGGTGAATACCCTGTCATCATAGAGCCTTCATCCAGTGACTAATGGAAGCAGATGCAAAGATCCACACCCAAGCACCAGGCCAAGTTCTGGGAGTCCAGCTGAAGAGAGAGAGGAGAAATTATCTAAGCAAGGGCGGGGTGTGTGTGTGTGTCAAGATCATGATGGGGAAATCCACAGAGACAACTGAACCAAGCTTGTGGGAACTCATGAATTCTAGACTGACAGCTGTGGAGTCTACATGGGACATCTGACTTTAAATGATTTACTTAAGGAAAAAATATTCCTCACAGGTGTACCCAGATATTTGGGTTTTAGTTAATTCTAGAAATAATCAAGACGACAGCTAAGAATAGCCATCACAATCCCCTCCTAAGATGTGAAATAGTGATGAATGTGAGAAATCTGTCATCTCATCTGTCGTTAGTTATCACTGAAGCCTATTGGCAACTCATTCTGTGCTTCTAGTAAATAGTAATCATTGGAATAAATAGTACATACAGAATATCCTTGTATTATACTCTGGAAAACAATGTTCATTAACTCTAAGTATGGTGAGATAATGTTACCTATAATTTTTTATCTAGATAAGGAATGAAGAATTTATTTCTATACCTAGTTTGCTGAAAATTTTTCATGCATAAGTTAAACGGCTCTTTTTTATTTTGTAAGATGATCATGTTTTTTATTTTCTCATAATGATGACTTGTATTCATTTTAATTGGAATTAACCTTTTGTTGCAAGGATAAACCCTACTTGGTCATGATACATTATCATCCTTATAAGCTACTGCCTTTGATTTGTTGACATTTGATTGAGGATTATTACATACAGAAGTCTTCTTTTTCCATTAGGTTACACTTACCTCATTAAAGAACGTGCAGTAGAATTGGAGACACATCTCACCAGATGCCATGCTCAACTACTTTCTATAAGGAATAGCAACATAAAGTTAATATGAAATATTTCCTGAAATATTTGGCAAGATTTCCCTGAAAATCATCTTGGTTTGGAATTCTCTCTGTATGAAGGTTGTGGTTAGAAATTCAGTTTCCTATTGGCCTGGCTCCTCTCCATAGATGTAGCTTTCCTCAACAGACTTCCTATGGCCCTGGAATCACCAATAGTCTGAGGTCTCCATTGCAGCTCAGGATTTATTTTCATGAAGTCCCCTCTCAGAGACTCTTTGCACGGATTTCAACCCTATCACACATTGCCTGGCCTTAGTAACTGGAATGGTAGTAGAAGATTGCTGCCCTATCCCTACAATTGGCCTTGCATCCTTTATGCCTGCAACACCAGTGCCACATAAATGATGCTGCCAGCTTGGGATGTAACCTGGACTGCTTAGAGCAGAACTGTATTAGCCTCTGCATGATGACCCTGGATAAGCGCTTTCTTAGGCAGCTGCTTTAGATGGCTACAGTGGCATTGTCAGGTCAGACTCTCTCTCTTCGCAAGTGAATATGTATTTTCACAAGTTGGAGTCTTTGATGGACAGGTATCTTTCCTATTGCCCCAGTGCAGGGCAGGAGGTTTCTTTTCAACAATTGCAAAAGTATTTTTCATATGCCTTGGCTGCAACTTTAAACTTGTTTGAGCACTTTTCCTAGACAAGTTGCTTATTTAAAAAAAAAAATTCTTTCTGCCTCACTTTTGCTCCTTTTCACTATAAACCTAAAAATGAGAAGTAAGCAGAAGTCATGTGTGCTGGGTAGTTTTATGTCAACTTGACACAAGTTAGAGTCATCCGTTAGGTGAAACCTCAATTAAGAAAATGCCTCCATAAGCTCAGGCTATAGGCAAACCTATGGGGCATTTTTTAAATTAGTGATTGATAGGGGATGGCCAGTCCATTGTAAGTTGTGCCATCCCTGGGCTGGTGGTCCCAGCTTCTATAAGAAAGCAGGCTGAGCAAGCCATGCTGAGAAAGCCAGTAAAGAGCACTCTCCATGGTTTCTACACCAGCTCTGCCTCCAGGAGCTGGAATAGAGTTTGAATTCCTGTCCTGGCTTCCTTCAATGATGGACTACAATGTGGAAGTGTAAGCTAAATAAACCCTTTCCTCCCCAGCTTTCTTTTGACTATGGTGGGTCATCATAGCAATAGTAACCCTAATTAAGATACCACATTCTGTCTTTACATTTCTTTCACCAAACAAATTAATCCATTATTCCTGTGTTTAGCCTCATTCATGTCCTCAGAACATGGACGAAATGCAACCAGACTCTTTTCCAGAATATCACATTCATGGCTTCTCACCCGATGACCCATTGAATCTCAGGTCCCATCTAAAACCCTGTGAGCCAGGTTTTCACTTTCAACATTTCTCTCAGCATTCTAGTTTTATAAAGTTGCCCATAGATGAACCAATACACTCTGCTTAGAGTGCCCTAAGGTCTTCGTAGTCCAGAATTCCAAACTCTTCCACATTTCTCCTACAAACCAGTTCGAAAGGCCTAAGAACCATGTGGGTAGGTTTATCAGAGCCATGGCGCCACTTCTCAGTACCAAACTTCTGTGTTAGTTACTTCTTTTGTTGCTGTGACAGAAAAAGATTGAAAAAAGCAACTTAAGGAAGTAAAGGAAGTCATGGTAGCAAGACTCTGAGAAACCATTACATATATCATCAAGAAGCAGGGCATGGTGAATGCTGTGCCCAGCTTGCTTTCTCATTTTCTTTCAGTCTGAGACCCTAGCACATGAAATGGTACTGCCCAAATTTAGGTCCACAATTAACCTAATCTGGATAAACCCTCACAGGCATACCTAGAGATTTGATTCTTTAATGATTCTAGAACAGGTTAAGATGTCAGTCAATATTAACCACCACTATACCTCTTTTGTTTTTTTCCAACAGCCCCTCCATAAGCTCAGGCTATAGGCAAACCTATGGGGCATTTTTTAAATTAGTGATTTAAAATTTAAAAAATGTAGTGGTATCTGCTCCACCCATGACCTTGAGCTATATGGAGGAGGTGCTTCCTGCCATTGTACATGACCTCATACAAGGAGTTGGAAAAGGGTCATGTGCCCATTATCATTGCTCCTGCCTTCGAGGTGGATTCAGACCTGGTCAGATCAGAGGACAACTTCAGCCGTCTACTCTGTTCTGTATTCATGAGTGTATTTCCTCAATTTGTATCTTAATAAATTCTGTTACCCATTTAATAGACTCACATGGTTTGATCATAATAAGTGGTGCCCAATGAGGGGCTAGGTGGGACCTGAGAAACCTCTGGCTACACTAATCTTTGTACAAAGTCTGAAGTCCCCATTCTTCTTTTCAGCATTCTAATTCTAAAGAAAAACCCCACTTGAGTGGTTAATATGTTAATTGCTAAATAGTTTTCCTTTAGATTTATAGAACCCTGAGCATCTAGTAACCTTTGAAATCCATCCTTAATAGTTATTTTTGTGCATTATACAAGGCATGCAATTTGAGGTTTAATTGGAAAGAAAATAATATGTATTTTTAGCAAAATATAGGAACTACAATATGGTAATAGAGGTATACTGATGCTCTGTCCAGAGAAAAAAGTGAAACAAACTCTGAAATACCACACTCAGCAGGCAGCCTTCCTATTCCAGTCTTTTCCATCCCTATAAAAGCCTCCTATGACCCCATACAAGCAATGTAGTAATTAATCCCCCATCTTCTAAGGTGCTGGTCCTTGAATAAATCTTATTCTTTCTTACTGACTCTTATCTCCAAACTGGCCTTTGACTTGCAGTAGAATAATTCTCTTATACACTTGTAAAGGTTTGTCACTCAAATTGGTTTAATAAAACACTGATTGGCCAATAGCCAGACAGGAAGCGTAGGTAGGGTGACCAAACTAACAATGCTGGGAAGAGGAAAGGTGGAGTCAGGAGTCACCAGCCAGACAGAGGAAGCAAGATGAGAATGTTGTATTGAGAAATGATACCAAGCCACGTGACTAAACATAGATAAGAATTATGGGTTAATTTAAGTGTAAGATCTAGTTAGTAATAAGCCTGAGCTACCAGCCAAGCATTTATAAGTAATATTAAGACTCTGAGTCAATTCTTTGGGAAGCAGCTGCCATGTATTTGGGAGTTGTTGTCCAGACATAGAAAC